CTGGGATATAACCAGCGTGAACCAGTTGAAAACCAGAATTCTGCTTGTCTTATTTTTGTGTCCTGAAGATGGAGATATGTTTTTTCGAAATTTCTGTTTACTTGCGAGAGACTACACGGTTTTATATCCCATGAGATAGAACCCTTGGATAACGTGACTGGTGAATAATTAATTGGAAAGGATTTGGAAGGAAACCGTCGTGATCTGATTCATATATTATCCTTCAATTTATCCAAAAGCACTCAGAAAATCTCAAAAACCTCGGTTAAGATGGCCGATTTTCCAGATTCGAACCGAGCACCTCCCGTATACGAGTTCATACCGTTACAGCTACAGTGACTTAGTCGATTATTATTAGGTTAAAACTAACCACGTGACAAAATGGAACAGGATGCTAGTTGAGAAGCTAACATTTGCTCAGATAGAGAAGAAATTTCCAGAATCTTATAGAACACTAAAAATAATCACCGTGTTCATAAATTCCTGAACCAGATAAATCCAGTCAATACCCTCACATCCTGCTTCTTTACGATTCTTATAATTATTAGAAACCCATCTATGTCGAGGTCTTTCGTGTGGCTCTTTCCTTCAGTTTTTCCTATAAAAATCTTGTATGGAATAACTTATCTATCATGCTTTCAGTTCATGTTTCTTGGAAGAACTCAATTAAGTAGAGCTTCTGTGCAAAATAACTGTTGATTTTAACACGATATAGATCCGTCATTACATTGCTATTAATTCTAAGAGTAACGGCGAAGATGATTAGCCTAAAAACAATTAACATTAATGAAGCAATAAACATACGTACATAAATTTATTAATATTAGAATTATACTGCTTAAAAATAACGCTGTCCAAAATTAATTTCGAGATTATTTTTCATCTAACATAATATTCAAGCGATCTCATCACCGCCATCTTGTAACTGTTGTCTCAGTAACAAAACATAACATGTAGGTAAGTTTGTGATAGTTCCGTGCCAAATACAAAATCCCATCTCTAACGGTTTATTACTTATCGTCATCAAATGCGAGGCTAAAGAAAAACTTCGATTTCCGGCATGTTACATTTTTTTCTAAAATCTAGTATTACCATCCTTACTGTAGCTTGTAAAAACCGTTGCTATGCAACGACCGAGAGATTAGCGGATATACCAAGGCCGTTTCTGGGCAATGACTCGCTAAACACGTTCATCTTGCTAGGCAGCATGTTCTTAATAATGCAACAGTTGGACTACAACAATGAAGAAAACCGTGTTTTCTACGTGGTCTGTTCCGAGACGTTATAAGCAAGGGACAAGAACAGTTTAGTCAGTTCTGTAAGGGAGTTTGTGAAGAAAGGTCTTAAGCCAGAGGCAGAGGAATGCACACTGTTGGAGCATTTACCAGGAAACGTCTAGTAACAGACTGTGCGCTCAAGTGAGCTGTAAAATGAAATAATGATGGAGTTATACACGTGGTTATTTGTGGTTACAACTTATAAGTGGTCAATAAATTCAATCTCCAATCCAAACCCGGTCTATAATCACTCATACACGTGACAACTGTTGTCAGAATGAAGATTAGAGAAAATTTCTATCAGAGTAGTCAATAACCGTCTAAGATTAAAAAGTGAGCATCACAAAATACAAGTTTACTGCGTTACCGCTAGACTAGCCTGTTCGGTTCTTGGAGAAAAATATCAACTTATATCTTTACATACGAAATTGCATATTATGATTTTTTGTATAGGGGATTTTGTTTTGTTTTGTCAGAAATTGGAATTAGAATTAATTTAATTAATATAACGATTTATTTTCCTATTTAAATATAGAAAATTAATAGCTTCTGAAATAGAAACAGCAGAAATCGGCGAACGTTTAAAAAACATTTTATTGAGTCCGTGTTGTCACGATTTCTGTTTAAATAAAGTCAAATATAAATTTAAAGAAAATAACAGCAGAAATCAGTGAATGTTTTTAATAAAATTAGTTTAATGACTCAGTGTCATTATGAGTTCTATTTAAAGAAAGTCAGCGTTAAATTGAAAGAAAATGTTATACGCCGTGTTCTCTCGCCTCCAATTTACTTGAGATGTTCATTTATTTAATGGCTTCTGTTGCGTGGATCCGCTATGGCGCTCAAGCCCACTCGAACATCTGTTTACCAAACTTCATTACCTCAGAGATGCAAAAGTTCAGATTACATTTATGATTAATGGAAACGCTGTTATCTGTATCAGCATGAGCACCGTGAATCCAGTGACATTACAGGCACTGGTTATGGTAATGTGCTTCTGTACTTAGAAAATAGAGTGTATATCTTATTCAAAACTTCGTGCAAAAATTTACATTTAGTAAATTAATTTCTTATAATGTTTTAACTTCGAAATAATGATAAAGGCAATAATTTGTTACAATACACTTCATTATTTATTACAATATTAATTGTATTCAATATGAAAGTATATTTATTTCACGCCATATAATTGTTTGCGTGATTACATTAGTTGAAGTATTACTGTGACGAAGAAACAAGTTGTCTTATTTTGTCTTATGTTTGTGTTTATGTATTTGTTTATTTGTTTCTCTTGGCCTTTGGGCTGTTTAGTAAGCATTATTATTTTTATTATTGCTAGTGGGGTGGGACTAAGTCCCTTGTACTGCGGCCACTTCTAGCCTATTGTACCAGCCCCAGATGAGAGGTGAGGGTGATTGTGGGGCAATTGGTGGAATGATGATTGGTAGGGGAAACCGAAGTACTCGGAGGAAACCTGCCCAGCGCCACTTTGTCAACCACAAATCCCACTTGACCAGACCCTGGTTTGAACCCGGGCCGCCGCGGTGGGAAGCCAGCGACTAACCGCTTGAGCTATGGCGCGGCCAATAGAAATGTTACTGTCTAAATGATATATGTTACCTTCTTTCATCTTTTGTTTATATGTATGTGAGTCGTTTGATTGTCTCTTCGATCGTGCTACAATATAATTGGAATGTAAACAAATTAACAATGGAATTGAATAATTATTGTTTTCATTTTCTCCTTTTTAGCTTCAAATTAAATATGTAATAACGTGAACATGTGTGATGATCAATTCTTTAAAATCAATCTTTTGTTTAATTTAGTTATTCGCTAATTACCGCATTTTGCAACTTTCACTGTCACTATAAAGTTGTGATAATGTACATACACTACAATTGTCCGACATGCACTATGCACTACAATACAGCACATGCAGCGCATGCGTTGTTTCGTCTCATATATGCACGGCTTTCTTCTTACATTTGTTTGTGCTGAACCTGTAATTGGCTCCTGTATACTTAGTTAATTAAAAATAAACAATTAAATTGAATTGAAGAAAGCAGTCTTCTGGGATTTGGCACCGTGTATATGTGGTGTTAACCGACGTTTCGGAGGAACGTATCGCCCCCATCTTTAGGGTAGAAGAGTCTGCTTTACCGTTTCTCACGGTGTTGTCGCTTGCAGATTTCTTATACTTTTTCTTCTACCCTGAAGATGGGGGCGATACGTTCCTCCGAAACGTCGGTTAACACCACATATACACGGTGCCAAATCCCAGAAGACTGCTTTCTTCATAGTCACCGCCGTGAAAGCCTCGAATCTTACAATTAAATTGAATTGTATGATATTAATCTTTTGTCCTTGTGTTTGTTTTTGTATCCCAATCGACTTTGTAACTGTTTTCTGGAAAGTTCACTTCAGACCGTAACATGTGTTTCAATAATTATTGTTATTATTATTGCTACTGTTCACTTGCCAGTAGTAAATTTAACTTGCGATGTAATACTCAAGATACAATATTACACACAATTTCTGCACATGGTTGAATAACAGAAATACTTTGAATATGTGACACATGTAAAGGACTAGTGTATATGTTGATGTAGTCTCCAGTTGCTTCGCTAGTGTTTTGGTTGTGATTCCGATATCACTTATGGGACAATTATAAATAAATTTTGACAGCTCATAATTTATTATTTTTGATATTTGAATCTCTGACATGCAGAGTAATGGCTACTAACATATTAAACAATTAACTAACTCAATTCGGTAGAGTATCTACAGAAAACAGTATAGTTGCTTAATTAGACAAGTTTTCATTCTTTTTTATGGAACCCAAAGTTTCGTTACTAGGCATCTTATTCCGAGCTAGTTAAGCTCCACATCCCCATTGTTTTTTTAATATTATCCCCGCTCCTCGTACAAGCCTAGGGCTCATAAATGATTTCTTCTCTCCGGGATTTCCTAATAAAGTTTCATTCGCATTCTTCATTCTCCCTACGTGCTACATAGCCTGCTCATCTCACATGCTTCCATTTTACCACCCTAATAATTTTCGGCGAAGAGTAAAATTTATGGAGCTATTCATTACGATATATTAGGGGTCGTGTGAGTTATTACACCGTGTAATTTCATAAACAATTACCAATGTTCACGAGGGACCTGCCACATTCATCTTCAGTTCTTCTGAAATGTTGTAACGACAGATTAAAGTGTACGGTATCATATCCTAGGTGACCATAGTCATAATTTTCACCATCGTGAATGCCTGGAGAAAAATTCATAATGAGGAGTTTCATAACTTGTACTCACCTCCAAGCATAATTAAAATGATCAAGTCAAAGAGGATGAGACGGACAGGGCATGCAGCACAAATGGGGGAGACGAGGAATGCATGTAGGATATTGGTGAGAAAGCCAGAAGGAAAGAGACAACTGAAAAGACCAAGGCATAGGTGGGTGGACAATATTAAAATGGATATGATGGGATGATATGGATTGGATTGATCTAGCTCAGGATAGGAACCAGTGTAGGACTCTTGTGAACACGGTAAAGAAATTCTTGAGTAGCTGCAGAATTGGCGGCTTCTCAAGAAGGGCTCAGCTCCATGAGTAAGTAAGTATACCTGCAACTTCATCTCCCCAGAATATATTTGCTACTTTTATGTTTGTGCCGGATCAGCCACTAAACTGAACCTGAGGACTTCACTACATGTTGCAGGTGCGACGCTGAGGCCAGACCATGCACCAGGGAGCTTTCATGGGCGCCAACTGGACGGTGCGCCGGAAACTGTCAGTTGCCCCACATCCCAGGCGCGGGTACCAGCCCCACGGGGCACACTGGAATGTGCAGGTGGTGAGAGGCAAAGTGACCACGCGATGTCTGTGGAACGCCTGCAAGGCCTTAACTCTCGGCCTGCTGCTCCTTCTGCTGGGATGCGCCATGGCTACAGTCGGTACGTAACTCAGTCGGTATTACAGTGTCGTCAGTTGTCAGTCGGCGTTGCAGTGACTACTTTCCCGAAGAATTTACCTCTATGTTGTTATTATTATTATTATTTACTCTCCTCCAAGTATAATTAGAATGATCAAGTCAAGGAGGATGAGGTGGGCAGGTCATGTAGCACGAATGGAGGAGGTGAGGAATGCGTATAGGATATTGGTGGGAAAGCCGAAAGGAAAGAGACCACAGGGACGACCAAGGCGTAAGTGGCTGGACAATATTAGAAGGGATCTTAGAGAGATAGGATGGGATGGTATGGATTGGATAGATCTGGCTCAAGATAGGGACCAGTGGAGGGCTCTTGTGAACATGGTAATGAACGTTCGGGTTCCATTAAATGCTGAGAAATGCTTGAGTAGCTGCAGAATTGGCGGCTCCTCAAGAAGGGCTCAGCTCCACGAGTAAATAAGTATTATTATTAATTCCAAGTAATTACGGCGCTATCGCTAATCTCCACACTTTTCACGGATCACCACAGCACCCACTAAGCCTTTCCCAGCCTCCTGTCTTCAGCCGTTTTCTAGCATTGGCTTCTAACAGTATAGATTCTTCAGCTTTCCGCGCGTTACCCTCCGGCGAATATCCCGCAACTGAACTCTTGTCAACTGTCAAATCAACTATAGCGTCATCTCTTCTCAGCCTTCCTTGCAGGGCTCAACTCAACTGCTAACCGTCGATGTATTCACTTCACTCAACTGAACTGCCTAGCCGGCCTGGGATCCTCGCTATATAGCCTCGGGGCGGACCCAACAGAAAACACCATCGTTTCCTTTGTACCTCTATTGTCGTGTGCTTCTAGTTTACGCGGGTACATGTTTGCCGACAGTTACCAAGTAACGCACGCTGCTTCTAGCAATCGTTGCATAGCAACGGTACTTCATGCTATGATATCTTCCTATATATATATATATATATATTGTGACATGTTGAGCTATGGATGACTCCCCCCCGCCAGCCGTGATGCGCCGAGCGAAGCCGAAGTGAGCCGAAGTTAGCCGAGTCCTAGCATCCTGGTCGCTATGCAAAGCGAGTCAACAGCGATGACGTCACCAAGGGTACCGCGGGTTGCTAGGCAGCGCGGGTAAACAGGATTGCGAGAGACGACGGTAGTAACAGCGGTTACTACCGCTAGCGTTGCTAGCAACACAGCGCCAGGCAACAAGGGTGCTTATTACGTGGCCGTTTTCTGTATTGTCCGATCGAGGCTACATGAGGAGCAGCGAAGGCTATTCACAGTTAGTCCTCGAGCTACCTCCGAGTTAGTTCCGAGTTAGCCAGCAACCAGTCAGTTGTATTGTGGCATTTGGAGTGTAGTATTTGTGACACTGCAGATAGCAGTAGTTCTAAAACTGTCAATTGTGTGATTGTAAGTGCGAATGTGAAATAAAATTCGCTATATCAAATACGGCGTGAAGTTATTTGTCGCGTTATACGCCCAATACGCGACAATATATATACATCCTATAGACAGGTGCGATGTCTCTGGATGACGGGGTTGGAAGGGCTCTTGACTTCGCGAGGCGCCAATACCACGCGATTCACTTCCCCCCTGACTGAGAGCTGTTTCTCTGTATCCATGGCAACCTTATACATGTATCATTACAGGCACATAGGCTGATGTCTTCACTGTACTCATTTCCACGTGTCAGGGTAGGCAAGTCTAACAGGTACACCCTAACACAAGTCAGTGATAATGTAACACAGCAGCTGACGATTTTACGCCGTGAAATCTGGCAGATATTTGCAGGGGTTTCGGAGGAACATATTGTTTTTATCTTCAGTGTCAAAGAGTCAGCAACTAATAATAAACATGAAACAACCAAACTCATCTATAACTAAGCCATACAAAATATCAGTAATACTGCTTCACTTCCTGGGATTATTATTTTGACCTGAGGATGGAGGCAGTATGTTCATAACTAACTTCACGGAGCTGATTCCTTCTTGAGAAGTCGCCAGTTGTGCAGCTACTCAAGAACTTACCCGCATTATATGGAACACGAAGTTTAATTGCCGTGTTCACAAAAACCCTTCACTGGTCAATATCCTGAGCCAGCTCAATCCAATCCATATCACCCACGTTCTATCTCTCTAAAATCCATTTTAATATTATTCACCCACCTACGTCTTGGCTTTCCTAGTGGTCTTTTTCCTTCCGAATACCTCACAAATATCCTATATGCATTTCTCTTCCCCCATTCGTGCTACATTCCTTGCTCATCTCATCCTCCTTGACTTGATCATTCTAATTATACTTGGAGAAGAGTACAAACTGTGACACCTCTCTCAGTGTTTTCCTCCAAAACGTAAGAACTGTCACTTGTTTATGACTCCGTGACTAACAGTAGCGGGTTCTGGATTGGAAGATTTGATTTATTGACGCCTTCTTTTACAATCAAACTCAATTACTGACTGCCTATGACTCGCTCCATTCTGACTGGACTGCGACTGTCTTCTCTTCTAGTCTCCTTCTACTGTGACTGACTTGCTTCTGACTTAGGAATCACTCACTTCTGCTTTACGATTTAATTCCGAATGATAAATGACGAAGGACGAATCACTTAAGAATTAAAGCGTTCTCAATGTCACATTACGTCTGACGGTCAGTCAGTCAGTCTTGCTGTTGGGCCCCATCTGAGGCTCATGACCAGATATTTATTACCGTTTGACAGTTATGGACTTGTTTCTGTGAGGCGCCGTCTCTGACGAGAGGACGAGTCTCTCTTTTTTACATGCTGCTGGCCCTTTTCAGCACAGTCTTTCTGGGGTCTGGGACTCGCGACCATATTTTACTGTCTCAAAATTTAGACTTCCTTTTTCGTCGCCTCCTACGACTCGCAGGGTAACGGTGGAGGTATTCGACCCCGCCTCCACACGGGATTGAATGCGTTCTTATCTGAACGACCTCTTATACATCTATTCCAGCGGTATCCACAGGAACCTTTGTTGAATGTTCGTTTACACGGAAACTCATTTTGTACTGAGTTGTTTCCTGGAAACGGCCTACATGTAGGTTGCTACATTCTGTCACATTATAGAAGATAATGTTCCTCAAGGTCACCGACTTCAGAAACGTTCCCAGACTGTCAGTCTGAAGTTCCCTGAGGCCTCCAGTCAAATAGTGAAGTACCAGAGCGAATTAATACTGCCGTAATAATAACAATATGATCTCATATCTATATACTTCGTCGTTTAATTAATTTAACTTAGTTTTATCGGTTCATTATATACTTAGTATTATGATTCATTCAGCATCTTTTTATAAGCCCTCGTTGCCTCTCGGAAAAAGAAATTTATGGGCCGCTGGGAGATCGCTGCTCTCAGATTGGTAAATGTTTATCAAGCACCAACATCTCTAGCGAATAAACAGAAACTTCGAGGTTGAATAAACAGTTTAGTCTCTCGCCACACAGACATCCTACTTGGCTGTGACGTAGCAACAGATCGGTCTTCAGGATCGCAATGGGAAACATGAAACGGAACCAGAATGTTAATAGGGAAATTACTTCGCAAAGCGGAGATTTCGAACACAGAAAAAGAGAAGTGTGGATGATACTAAAAACTTAAGTATTAGAAATGGTTTTAAAGATTTTGAGTCGGGATAGCGCAGTCGGTATAGCGACTGGCTACGGGTTTGAAGACAGAGGAGTCGGAGTTCGAGTCCCGGTAGGATCAAGAATTGTTCTCTTCTCCACGTCGTCCGGACTGGCTCTGGGTTCGCCCAACCTCTTATCCAATGGGTACTCGGGGTTCTTTCCTTGGCATAAAGCAGCCGAAACGTGAAGCTGACCACTCAGCTCAAACTAGCGCCGAGAGAAGAAAAATGTGGATCTATGCATCCATTCCCCATACGCCTTCATGGCGTAGTATTTAATTAGTTAAGCATAGGGACAACTTTACCTTGTTTTAAAGAGTTCAGAATTGTATCCAAATGTTAGGTTAACTGTTTATTTGTAAGTTACTGGTTAATTAAGTTAGTTCGTTAATAGATTATAGACAATTAACTACCTAACTGCTTAGCTTTTATTTCTTAAATACTCAGATGCTTAGCTACTTAGTTTTAGCTGACTTAAATGCTTCTCACTTAATTACTAAGTCAATTCTTGTGAGATTTGAGGCTCCCACGGAGGTGGGTTTGAAAATTCCTAGACTCCTGTCTTCTGGGTCAGGATTTTTATTAACGATTCGAAGGAAACACTTGTGTCCTTCTTCAATGTAGAAGAACGTAACAAGGAAAAATTGGATTGTTTCCTTGATTCCATAGTTCTCACGTCTGTTGACGCTTCTTACGGAGAAGCTGTGAGATTTGGAGTTCTAACGTTGGTAAACATTGTAACGTATAGACCCGTTGCCGAGCTGTGGCTCTTTGAAAAGCAGTCGTTGCTAGATAACTGCTCTGTAAACACTTTGCAGTGGAAAAGAATAAATATATCAAAAATATCCGAGCTATCCTTAGGTAACCGCCTATATTACAACACAGTTGGAAAAAGTTGGAAAATTGGAAACGGGGTTTCTGTTCGGTCCGTTCAAAGGAAGACAACTGGAGGCGATCCAATTAATTGAGAGTTGGTGGATAGCTGCGGGTTGGCAGTCAGGGGAGTTGAAAGTCAGCCAGAAAAGAGAAAAGTAGGCGGTTGGTCTAAAATGGACGCAAGCCTGAGATGGCGATCAGTTTCTGATGAAGGAATCGCTGTCAGGCAGTTCTGAATGACAGTCACCGAAGGAAGGATCTGAGAGCGGGAAGGTGAAGAATATCCACTGTTAGAAGCCGATACCAGGGAACGGCTGGTTAAGATACAGCAGGCTGGAAAGGGTTTAGCGAGTGATGTGGTGAACGTATAGTGTGAAGAGTAGCGGGAGCACTGTAATTACGTATAACTCCAAGTGATGTGTACAGTTTAGTCAATAAATCGAATATCCAATCCATACCCTATCTAAAGTCACACACATCCG